CTGCTCTGTCCTGTGCCAATCTCACTGTCTCCGACACACCCATCCTGATTACCCCAGTCACTGAATCAATCCACCTCATAGAAGGCCTTCCCCTCCTGCGCTTGCCCTCCACCCTCCCAAGCATGATATCCTTTTCCAAGGACTCGTCTCTCCTTACAACATGACCAAAGTATGTCAGACAAAGCCTCGGAATCCTTGCCTCCAAGGAGCACCCCAGTTTAACCCTCTCCAGGATGAATCTGTCTGGTTTCCTAGCAGTCCATGGTACCCTCTATTCTCTTCTCCAGCACCACAGCTCAAAGGCATCAATTCTCCTTCTATCCTCATTAGTCACTGTTCAACTCTCTGATGCATAACAAGTGACTGCAAAGACCATGGCCTGTATCAGATGCACCTTAGTCTCCAGAGAGACTCCATTGCTCTTCAGTCCTTTAGAGATGTCCCTAACAGCAGAGTTTCCTATCAAAATATGTCAGTATTACTTAATTGTTTTTAAATACTACTAGTTAAATTTCCTTCCTACAATATATATTGTGGTAAGCTATATACTGCAAAACCTTTGAAGACTATTTCAAAAATTAAAAAGTGACCGTTATATTCTGAGTACTAGTCTGCTTTAAAAAGAAAGCAAGCCTTTTTATTTGCATTTTCCCTTCTCTTAAAAAGTTTATTTATAAAATTCTAATATATTCATACCAGATCCTTCCCATTCCCCTCACCCACCCACCCATCAAACATTCTATTATAAACTCAACAACAACATAAAAACATTAACTTTCCATTTTCATAAAATATTTTATTTAAAGACTGTGATAATCTGCATTTGTTGTTTTTAATTTTTTGAAAAGTATTCTATAAAGACAAAATGTACTCAAATGAAACACAATGTATATGAATGACTACACGCAAATCAATATAAAATTTAAAAAATTTTAAAGTCACAAAAATTATTAAAAATTCAAGAACCAAGCTTTTTCATTTTTGTCTCTTCTTCTTTCCTTCTTCCTTTTTTTAAAAAGAATTATGCTTTTTTAATCAAAATCTTTTAAAATTAGCCATTGCTTCCTACTCTATATATTCTAGATATTTATATATCATCAGTAAAATTGCTTATTTTAAAAGAAATCTTCTTAAGAGGTGTTTTTTTTTTTAAATCAAGGTATCCAAAACTAAACCAAAACATATAATTTACTAGCACCAATAAAAGCACTCTATAAAACTGTCACTGTTCAATCTGTAGTTGATTATGTGCATTTTTTAAATTTTTATTTCAGGAGAATTTTGGTTGGGCCTAGAGAAAATTAAATCCATAGTGAAGCAATCTAATTACACTTTAAGAATTGAATTAGAAGATTGGAAGGACAACAAGTATTATGCTGAATATTCTTTTCACTTGGGAAATGAAGAAACCAATTACCTGTTATACTTAGTTGAGATTAGTGGCAATGTCTCTAATGTACTACCAGAACACACAGATTTGGTGTTTGCCACGTGGGACCACAAAATAAAAGGACAACTCAACTGTCCCCAAAGTTATTCAGGTATTCTTTTCCTAGTATCAAGAATTAATTTTCATATCTTAACCTATTTTTAAAATTATTAGCTATATATAACATGTCAACTCAGTAAAATGTGACTTTCAAACACTTTTATAAATAAGATATTTAAAATAAAATTAACTTGATTCCAGTAAAACTGAGTGTTTTACTTTTAATTATCTTAAATATTCTCTTTTAGTAAAAAGCAAAGTTTTACAGAACACAATACTGCCATGATACATTTATAATATTGTCATATTTATAAGAAATAATTGGATGCAGAGGAGTGACATTCACTTCCTAAACAACATGACTCTGGAAACTCTATTAATTTTTGATAAATGATGATAGTTATAAAAAGGCTTCAAGTCTTTTGTTCATAGAGTTTCTATGAGTTGTGCTCAACTCAACGGCAATTAACAACAATCTAAGAAATAAAGATGCATTGCTAAAGCAAGCTAACAGTAACTATCTGACTTTGTGTTCATTAAATTACATATCTATCTTTTATAGGAGGTTGGTGGTGGCATGACAAATGTGAAGAAAACAATCTAAATGGTAAATATATCAAATCAAGAGCAAAAACCAGAATAGAGAGGAGAAGAGGAATATCTTGGAAATCTCAGGATAGAAGATTATCCTCTATAAAGTCAACTAAAATGCTGATCCACCCAACACACTAAAAGTTTTGAATGAACTGAAGCAAATAAAAAGTCACCAAGTTAAGCATACCCAAGTTACTCTGGCTCTATAATCTCAAATTAATTCCTTAATAGCATGTCTGGGATATAAATTTATTTTTTTATTAAGGCACCACTAGTATATTTTAAGGCAAAATATATCATCAAAAACTATTTATCTATAAAATTCAAAACTATTTATCATTTTATAAATATTCTGTGATAGAAGAATTTCTTTCAGATGGTTACAAACTAAATTATTAACCAATGAGTAAACTTTTGTTTTTAGAAGTTATAAAAAACTTATATTTTTAAAATCTTCACATAATTCTACAAGTTGATGAGCTTAAAAATTCAGTTTTCATGCTAAAAATCTAAATTTAAATAAATGTAAAATATTGGTAATTTAAATTCTGTCAATTTATCAATGGCAAAACTATGATTAAGTCAATTCAAAATACATGTGAATATTTGTATTATAAATTTTAAAACTGATGCTTCACTTTGCTATAAGATAATTTGAATAAAATGATAAGCATTATGTATGAATCAAAATAATGCATGATAAAATACTATATTGAAATATTAGTTCCCTTTAAATAAATGGAAATCATGATCACTAAGTTATACTGACTTTAATATTAGCTCATAAAATATCACTCTATTAACTCAAATATAATGTATGCATTTTATATCTTTCAACGTTTACTATGAAATTAATATTTTTAAAATTATCTTGTCAGACTACAGTAAAAATCAATGTGTTTATAATATCAAAGCTATAGTCTTTGCAATTACATGCTATGTATCAGAGAGTTGAATGGTGACTATGGATGATAGAAAGAGAACTGATGCCTTTGAGCTGTGGTGCTGGAGAAGAGTGTTGAATATACCGTAGACTGCTAGGAGAACAAACAGTTTTTTCCTGGAGAGGGTGAAGCCGGACTGCTCCTTGGAGTCAAGGATTCTGAAGCTTCATCTGACACACTTTGGGCATCTTGCAAGGAGGGACTGGCCCTTGGAAAGGGACATCATGTTTGAGAGAGTGGAGGGAGGGCGCAGAAGAGGAAGACCTTCGACGAGATGGATCAATTCTGTAATTAGGGTGGTGGGAATGAGTGGGTCGGAGACAGCGAGGTTGGCACAGGATAGAGCAGCATTAAGGGCTCTTGTACATAGGGTTGCTATGAGTCGCAAGCGACTCAATGGCACATAACAGCAACAATATCAAATAATGTTAAATAAAAATTTATCCATATAATGCAAGTCTAAAGTAATTCTATAGGTTTTCAAATACTATAGAATCAATGATCATACAGCAGACTCACCAGTAGATATTCACAGAACTGCAAAGGAAACTAGTTACTGGATTTCTACTACATGCCTTTGGGTTGGCAATGCAATTCCTTACCAAGTAACCAGAATACTTTTAGTATCTTACTGATGGTATACTATCTGATTCAATTATCCATGAAGTATTACTTGTAACTAGGGAGATTTGGTGGCATCGCAGTAAGGAGTTGTAAGGAGTTGTGCGGCCAGCCCTACGGTACAAAATTCAAATCTACTAATGCTCCATGGGAAAAAGATCAGTAATCTCCTCCTGTGCAATTTAGTGCATCTGAAAACTGCATCTCTCTGTGGGAGAGTCAGCTATTAATTGGTTTGGACTCAACGGTACACAACAACAGCCTGTAACAATAATCCTCAAATAATATTAGATAAAAATTACTATATCTTTTGTCATTTCTCTATTTAGGTAACTTCTTTAGAGTTACAAACAAGAAACAAACTTTTAACTAAAACAAGTTTTTAACACGTGTTGCAAATGATGGCTATTAAAAAAATGTGTTTCTAAGCACTGTTGTCAATTTAAAACTGTGTGACAATATAGTGCTTAAACACGTATAGCAGTTTATCATGGTCAATAAGATCAAAGACTGCCTTCAATATGGATTACATCTCAATATTGGAAAAACAAAGATGGGCAATTTAAACTCACCAGCCATTCCAGTTAAGAAAGACGGTGAGATTCACAGCCTTGTAAACCCTTATGAGCCAGCACTAGTCTGTCCTACAAGATTGCTATTAAGTCAGAATTTAATTGATGGCAATGAGTGTAATTTTGATGTTGTATTTTCTTCCTTTTAAGAATATTAACTTCTTCATATAGAGTTTAGGTCAAAAGAAAATGCTTGTGGAGAAAGAAGATAGTATTTTTTCTCTGATGGTTCACAAAACCATTGTTACTGTTCACGTAATTTTACTAAGAGTGCCCTACTTTTTCCACTAACAGGTGTCATTTCTAAGGGTCTCTCCTTAGCACAGATTCCTTGGGATCTAGCCATTATTTCTAAAACAAATACTCATTATTCAGACTTGACTTTCATTTTGCTTCCATAGTACTACTATCTTGCTTATAATAAACAAAGACTTTCTACAAACAGGAAAGGATAAAATAGATGAACGAGACTTTCTAAGAATTAAACCCCTATGCATATCCAAAAACTTCTCCAACAGGGTAAAAAGGGAAACCACAGACTGGGAAAAAATATTTGGTAATGACATGTCTGGCAAGGGACTTATATCTAGAATTTATAAAACACTCAAGCACTACAACAAGATAAATAACACAACTGAAAAATGGGCACAGGATATGAACAAACACTTCATCAAAGAAGACATTCAGATGATGAACAAACACATAAAGAAATGTTCAAAATCCCTAGCTCTAAGAGAGATGCAAATCAAAACAACTATGAGATATCATCTTACCCCAGTAAGATTAGAAAAATTTAACAGAACAGCAAACATCAAATGCTGGTGAGGTTGTGGAGAAACTGGAACCCTTATTCACTCTTGGTGGGAGTGTAAAATGGTACAACCACTACGGAAGGCTGTAGGGTGTTTGCTTAAAAAGTTGCAAATATTAATATCATTCGACCCAGCAATTCCAGTACTGGGAATTTACCCTAAAGAAACCGTAACTGCCACCTTAGCAGATATATGCACACACATGTTTACTGCAGCTTTGTTCACAATAGCAAAGAGTTGGAAACAACTCAAGTGCCCATCAACAAATGAATGAATAGAGAAGCTCTGCTATATTCACACAATGGAATACTATGCAGCATTGAAAACCAAGGAACTCATATTATGCAAAATGGATAACCCTGGAGGACATTATGCTGAGTGAAATCTCAGTTACAAAAGGACAAATACTGCACAGGGCAAATATTCTAAAACAGATTGACATCGGGGTTGAGAAAGACAGAAAAGAAGGGGAGGAATGATGTATATTGCATTGAAACAGATGAGAGAGAAAACTGTTTAAAAGGGACACATGAATGGGTATTCTTGTCATTATAGAAGTCTAGAGTGAAGGCGGCAGAGTGGAGTAGATTTGGGGGGAGGGATTGCATAACAATGAAAAGAGTTTTTCTTTTCAAAGAGAAGAGTGAATTGAGGAGGGGAGGGAATAAAGTGCAAAAATGAACCACTGGCAATCCTAAGTCTCTGCAAACTTACATTAAAATTAATAAGAAAAAATGTATATCTAAAAAAACCCCAAAGACTTGATGTCATTATTTAAGACCAAAGACTTCATTATAAAGTGCAGCACAACAGAAATCCTCACAACTAGAACAATACACAACATCACGATAAATGATAAAAGAAACTGAAGTTGTCAAAGGTTTAATTTTAATTGGTTCAATAGTCAATTCTAGTAAATGCAGTAGTCAAAAAAATCAAACAAACTTTTCTCCCTCTCTGAACCTTCCTGCTGCTGCGTTCAGATTTTGCTGCTCCAGCCTCCGGGGCACTTATCATCCTCGCAGCCTGTGATCCACAGAGGGGGGAAAAATAACTATATATCGTTCTTTTGTCCCACACACACCCAAGGTGAGAGAAAAAAACCGAACACCCAAACCTTAATTTTCCACCATGAGAGAAATAGTGCATATCCAGGCTGGTCAGTGTGGCAACCAGATCAGTGCCAAGCTATGGGAGGTGATCAGTGAAGAACATGGCATTGACCCCGCCAGCACCCACCATGGGGACAGCGACCTGCAGCTGGACCGCATCTCAATGTACTACAATGAAGCCACAGGTGGCAAATATGTTCCTTGTGCTATCTTGGTGGATCTAGAACTTGGAACCATGGACTCAGTTCACTCAGGTCCTTTTGGCCAGATCTTCAGACCAGACAACTTTGTTTTTGGTCATTCTAGGGCAGGCAACAACTGGGCCCAGGGCCACTATACAGAAGAGTCCCAAGCTGGTCGATTCCCTCTTGGATGTGGTGCGGAAGGAGGCTGAGAGCTATGATTGCCTGCAGGGCTTACAGCTGACCCACTCCCTCAGTGGAGGCCCAGGCTCCGGAATGGGCACCTTGCTCATCAGTAAGATCAGAGAAGAGTATCCTGACCACATCATGAACACCTTCAGTGTGGTGCCTTCACCCAAAGTATCTGACACTGTGGTTGAACCCTACAATGCCACCCTCTCTGTCCACCAGTTGGTAGAGAACACCAATGAGACTTACTACATCGATAATGAAGCCCTCTATGATACCTGCTTCCGTACCCTCAAGCTGACCACACCAACCTATGGAGACCTCAACCACCTTGTCTCAGCCACCATAAGCGGCGTCACCACCTGCCTCTGCTTCCCCGGCCAGCTCAATGCTGACCTCTGCAAGCTGGCCGTCAACATGGTGCCCTTCCCACGTCTCCATTTCTTCATGCTTGGCTTTGCCCCACTAACCAGCCATGGCAGTCAGCAGTACCGGGCCCTCACTGTGCCTGAGCTCACCCAGCAAGTCTCTGACGCCAAGAACATGATGGCTGCTTGTGACCCCCACCATGGCCGCTACCTCACTGTGGCTGCTGTCTTCTGAGGACTGATGTCCAAGAAGGAGGTGGATGAGCAGATGCTTAACATACAGAGTAAGAATAGCAGCTACTTTGTGGAATGGATCCCCAACAACGTCAAGACTGCTG